GGGGGGGGGGGGGGGGGGGGGGGGGGGGGGGGGGGGGGGGGGGGGAAAAGTCACCCCCCGGTAAAATATCTATATTTTCGTAAGAAGCATAATTTTTCCTCATGCTTCCTAAGTACATGATATCCAGCTTATGATTAAAACTCAGTTTTAAGATATCGTTTTTTTGCGCTTACATATACGATCAAAAATGACCAGCCTTAAACACATGTACGATTCTCTCCGTTTTCTTACTTCTAAGCAAGTTTCGGGGAAAAAAAGCCGTCGGCAGCCTTGCCATTGGATAGTTGCTGTTGGCACTTGCTGTTTTAGGGTTATTTTCCATGTGCCTTAGCCTTTTAGAGAGCGGGTACGGGAGAGACTTTGTCTTTTGATATGTTCGATCGCGGACATATTCGAATTTACACTTTCGAAATGCCTTCTCATATATTAATCTCATTTGCTTTGTTTTTTTTATTGGGGTTTTTCAATTTTCGGAAATTTTAATACAAAAAAATTAAAAATTTCGAATAGATTACGTAATTAAAAATTAAAAATCCGTAATTTCTCAGGCATTGACAAGTAATACCCCAACCAAAAACACATCTCTACCGGTTATGCCAAGCATATGCCTGTAACTCAGTGTTGTTAAATGTCAAGAATTTATGATTTTTTTTCTTTTTGTCGAGGATCTATGGTCTATTCTAGGGGAGTGCAATTATGGCTTTTTTATGTATAATTTCCTGTTTTCAGGTAGAAAATTTCAAGTGTTTTCAGGTTCCGAAATGGCAGTTCTTTACGACCACAGAAATTTTCAAAAATGAACCAAATCAAAATGTTTATGCGCTAAGCGGTGATGATAAATTGGATGTTGAGGAGGTACGTATTAACTGCATTATTTCGTACATTTTATTGAAAAAATTTACCTCATCATATGCTCTTTTGTCGTAATTTTTATTGTTGGAGGAAAATTTCTTCCAGATAGTGGCCGCAGCACGAAAATATGTCGAAAAAAGCGGCCATGAAAGAGAGGATAGCGAGGAATTTGTGCAACTTCGTAACGGATATCGGCTTTTTGATCCGATGCGTGGCATGGATTATATTGTCGATCTACTCTATCGTGGAAATAATGGTGTCCGAGTGCATCGAATTCATCTGACACGAGGTATTGCCAGCACTCAACTTTTGAATCAGGTAAGTGCGCGTTTTTTTTTTTATTTACTGAATGAAAAATTATGGCACCATGTCGTAAATGGAGCTTTCTTTTGCAAATGATTGTGAACCGGGGGATGGGGATGGGCGAAGAGCGAGGGGAGGAGGGAGGGGAACATCCGGAAATGACGTACTAAACCGCTACACCACCAGTTTCCACATGTGGCCTGGGAGCATTTCTACTATGTATCTGCCTTTGAAGCAGCAAGCACTTTTCTTTTTTCATGTCTGCCTTCCCGTACGCAATAAAGACTTCTTTTTAGCGGTTCCTCTTTGGCCGGCTGTTTGTGGGATTTCTGCGACAGATATTACGCAGATTTTGATGTCATTCTCCCCCTTGGCATATAAAAATTTCGTCGCTTTCTTCGTATTTTCTGTACTGAATAAGAATATAAATATTCGTCTTTTTGTTGTCTAAGCGCATTTTCAAAAGCAATGAAATTATTGGTACCCTCTTGAAGGTACCGTATGTGAAGGAAGATACGGATTTGACGATTGTGGTGCCACTTGGAACAACCGAAGAAGTGGGTGCTGTACGCCGCCTGCTTGCCCATCATGTACATTTGTGTGAATCATCATCTGGTGATAATCGACAGACACGCATTGTTGTTGCTGTACGAGGCGTTGACCCATCTGCTATTCGACTAATTAACAATGATGTTATTGAACTCCGAATACGGTATGGCTTGTTTTTAGTATTTATAGATCGGTTCCTAGCCTAATTTTAGGCACCTGTATCGAATTTTGTGTTGTAATTGCATTGATTTTCTGCTTATCACTAACAGAAAGCTTCGTTTAGCTGCGCTAGATGTGTAAATGCATTTCAGTAGCCTTTATGGAATAGGCGAGGAGGGAGGAGGGGAGAAGGAGAGGATGGAGGGGGTGATCTGATAGTTTAGGTAATCTTAATTAAATGTTTTGGGCAAAGCTGGATCCAGGGTCTTTCGCCGTCCCTCCCCCCCTCCGTTTGCCCCGCCGTCCTTCCTTCCAGCAGCATAGGCACCGGTGCTGCAAAAGTCCGGAGATGTTTATAAATAAAACGGAAGTAACTCTGAGTAGCAGTGTTAGAATTCTATTCCTAGTTTTAGCATAGTTCCAAGATGAGTGAGACCTTTCCCTACACCTTCTGTTCCTTCCCCCCCCCCCCCCCCCCCCCCCCCCCCCCCCCCCCCCCCCC